ATGTGTTTTTGTAACCTAAAAAAAAAAAAAAAAAAAAAACACGCGCGCGCGCATTTTAGCACGCTTGAATTTTGGGAATGGCGGCGGGGCGGCCAGAAGCTCGGCTTGCGCCCGAACGAAGAAAATACTCAGCGCGAGCTCGTAGTTCAACTGCTGCAACGGCGGGCGAGCTCTCGCAATGCTCGATGTTCTTGCACCCGCGTGTACGCGTGCTACCTTCGCTGCGTCTTGAATTAAAGTGAAACGGAGTCTAGACGTAAATTCTTTCGCGCGGTCGCGTCTTCTGCGAGAGAGATTCGAGCTGAATAAGTAAATTGAGGCAACAAAGATGGACAAAGTTTTAAAGTTCTGTCAAAAATATCGGCTCACCAACGTCGCGCGTTTACGTAAAACAACAACAACAAAAAAAAAGGTGTTAGTTTTAGTTTCAGTATAAGCGAACATCAGCGCAATTGAAATATAAATATAATTACTTGCATTACGCGGACGATCTGAAATCGATGAACCGGTGCTCCCAGCCTTCCTGAAACGTTGGCTGCCACGGCTGAAGCGCTAGGCGTGCCCACGCCGCCTATCTGTACGTTCAGTATCTAACGGGCTCCGGAGAGCCGTTTGATTAAACCGGTGCAGTTTGCAACATGGTCACCGGTTTGAGCAAACGTGCGACAACTTTGCCCAAACGAGTCGCCCATTTGCCCAGACGAGCGACCCGTTTGCCAAAGGAGTGACCTGTTTGTCCAAATAGGTGACCGTTATGGCTCATACGGGGGACCCCTTTGAGCCATACGGGCGACCCGTTTGACAAACTGGTGACCGGTATGGTTAAACTGTTACCGGTATGGACCCGTTTATTTTCATATAGGTGCCAAATGGTTTTCTTCAGTAGGGAGCTCTTGAGGAGGAGGAGAGAAGGGTACTGGGGGGGGGGTCAAGTGACCTTGGGTGGGGGTCACGTGACCTAGGCGGTCACGTGACGATGACGATGCCAATGACGTCATCAGTAATGATGACGATGCGGATATTGATGACGTCATCAGTGATGATGACAATGTCGATGCGGATGCCGGTGACGTCATCAGTGACGTCACTGATGACGTCATCAGCGATGATGACGATGTGGATGTCGGTGACATCATCAGTGATGATGACGATGCAGATGTCGGTGACGTCATCAATGACGTCACTGATGACGTCATCTGTGATAATGACGATGCGGATGCCGGTGACGTCATCAGTGATGATGACGATGTGGATGCCCGATGATGACGACGATGCGGATGCCGGTGACGTCATCAGTGACGTCACTGATGACGTCATAAGTGATGATGACAATGACGATGCGGATGCCGGTGACGTCATCAGTGATGATGACGATGCGGATGCCGGTGACGTCATCAGTGACGTCACTGATGACGTCATCAGCGATGATGACGATGACGATGCGGATGCCGGTGACATCATCAGTGACGATGACGATGCAGATGCCGGTGACGTCATCAGTGACGTCACTGATGCCGTCATCAGTGATGATGACGATGACGATGCGGATGCCGGTAACGTCATCAGTGATGATGACGCTGACGATGCGGATGCCGGTGACGTCATCAGTGACGTCACTGATGACGTCATCGGGGGTCACGTAATCCCGGGGGTCACGTGACTTGGGGAGCCACGTGACTCTGGGTGTCACGTGACCTTGGGGGTCACGTGACCCTGGGGGAGGGGTCACGTAACCTTGGGGTGACCTTGGGGTCACGTGACCTTGGGTGACCTTGGGGTCACGTGAGCTTGGGGTCACGTGACCTTGGCGTCACGTTGCCTTGGGATGACCTTGGGTGTCAAGTGACCTTGAGATGACCTTGATTACGCCGATGGCGACGGCGAAGGCTGGGTTGAAAGCACTTCTGTGCAGGTTGGAAGGCGCTGGTAGACTCCAGAAACCATTTCATGCAAGTGAGTACCATCCTTTCCATGGTTTGGCAAACGCAGGAAGTCATCGACATGGGTCTGTAATTGCCGTTGTTTCCCTTGGCATTCCCTGGCTTGGGAATGGGAATTACGGAGGAATTTCCTTTAGCCTCCACCGTAGCCCTCGTGATATCATGGCGAGCTGCAGGGATCTTCCGACCGTTGCTGTAATTTTGTACCGACTGAAGCCGCTTAGCCCAAATCTTGCGAAGATTAAGGTTGGGTCTAGGGGCGTCTTCTTCGACGCTGCATTCTATGATGGCTCCCTGGAGCGCGCTGTGCAGGAGGTCTTCAAAGCCGGAGTCTACGAAGTCATCTCCTGTAGGAATTTCTCTGAATTTATCCCAGTGCACAATATTTATCATCTTTATCGTGCCGTCCTTCAATTAACGACTTGGCGGGAACTTGATTGCTATCGTGAAGTGGCCACTACACAAGTTGTCGGGGAGGCATTTACATTTGCGATGATGCTTGAACGTGTTCGAAGTTAAAGTCATGTCGGGCGAGGTGTCCTTTTGCCCGGCTCTCGCTGCCATCCTGGTCTTCGCGCCTTGCTTATTAACGAGATGAAGTCGGAATGTCTGCATTCCGCCCAGAAGATCGTCCCCTCTTTGCGTCTGGTAATTGCAGCCCCAAGCAGTGTGTTGAAGATTAAAATCTCCGCCGTACAGCTTCTGGTCTCTCGGGTACAAATGGTGTAGGTGAGCGATCCACCCGTGGTTGACCTTCTTGATGCCCGGACTGTAGTAGACCGATACGAATATGATGTTGTGGTGCTTATGGACCGAGGTTCGCACCGCGATGACTTCTTGATTTTCAGTGCAAAACCGCCCGCGTTCAATTTGGTGGTGAGGCCAAACGCTGCGAATGTAGGCCACTGCATAACCTGGTTTGGAGGGAGATGACAGGTCTGTCTGTCTTGTCACTGGGGTGATCGTAGGGCGTGGGTAGCATAAATACTGCCAGACTTTGATTTGTATGCAGTGAGCTTTTTGAAGTAAAAGAACGTCAGGGTGCTCGTCGGGTACGTCCAGTAGTTTTAGTCGTAGCTCAGCTGCTCGCTGGCCGAGACTCCGGCAGTTCCACTTGAGAACCCTTATCATGCTATTGTGGGGACAGGCTGCAGAGTGATCTGGCCTGGGTCCAGATCGACTAGTGTTTCTTGTTTTCCTCTTGCTGTGCTTTGAGCGTCGCGTGGACGTTGTCCAGCTCAGCCTTCGGGAAGTTGAACTTGCTGCGTAGTTCTTGAATTTTGGCCGTCAGGTTGGATGGCGGTGAGGGCATTGTGCCTTGCTTCGCTTTGTTGATCCACAAGGAGCCGCTTGGGGAGATCGGCACTCTGTGTGCCCTGACTTCGGCTTCGGCTTGTTGTTGCTGGGGCTGCTTCTGGTGCTGCCGCTGTTGAAGCAGTTGCTGTTGTTCCTGGAGCATGCGCTGCTCTCGGTAGCTATAAACTTCCTCTCTCATCTTCTTGTTGATTCCTTGCCCCGTCGGACATTGGCGGTTCGTCCAAAGATGGCCCTTCTTCTTGCACCCTTGGCAGAAAGGGGTAGAGTCGGCACGCAGGTTCCTGCGTAGGGCTGGTCGGGGCTGGGTTTTGAGTTCCGCAGCGCGGGCACACAGAATCGTTGGGGCAAATCTCGGCCTTGTGGCCGGTGCGGTGGCAGTTGCTGGATGTAACCGCTTTTGGCTTGAAGGGGGACAGTCGCATGAACCTCTTCCCGCAGACCACGCATCATAATAGTTTCCCACCGTCAAAGGTGAGGATTGCAGTATATGATTTTCCGAGCCGGCGAGCCGCAACTACGTGAATCTTCTCGAATTCAATCTCGATATTCAGCGTGTCATCTTGATGGTTCTCTTGGAGGGGGTAGACATCATAGATAACACCCTTGCTGTAGGTAGAGCCATAGGTTCTAAACACCTGGACGGGATTTTCTGTTCCTTGATGGTGACCACCCTAAACTTTTCAAGTCATACGGTCGATTCTTTCGAGTCCACGCGGACCGAGATCGTGTTGGCCTTTTCGATGAGGTCCATAGAGAATGCAGTGGCTATTTCTGTGCCTTGCAGATGTATCTCCAGTTTTGGTAGGAGCGGCTTGACTGAGACTGTAGATCGCGTCAGGCGGATCTTGTACTCGTACTGCCACTTCTTCAGAGTTATGGGTCGCGGAGGTGCTTGAAGCTGAGCTGAATTAGAGTGCCTTCATACACACGCGCGCTTTTGCTTGAGTGGTGACATCTCAGCCATTTTTCCACCCAATCGTTCTTTCATGCATTTTAGAGCGCGCGCAATCTGCTGTCACTCAGCTCGAGCGCGTAGCTTTGGCTAATGCATAGACGCCATTTTACCGCCCAAGTCACGCACCGAGTGCGCGAAAGAGTCACGCGCTGGCAGATTCAGGGCAACAATGGATGTCTTCACCCTGAGACAGACAGGCATGTAGGCACCCTAAGCTGAATCTCGGTGGAGACACTTCCTTTTCCTCTTGCTCATGGTTGTCTTCCACTCGTCTTCTCTCTCTTCGGTAGGGTTCGCCAGAGCGCCACTCCCCTACTCTGCGTTCTTGAAGAGTGACGTTCTGCTTTCCGCAGCCACCACGGCGGCGCTAGAATCGCACTTCGTTTATCTCTGCTTTTCCGGGAGATCTGTCACCATCTTGGCTTCGATTTCTCTTTGAAGTGCCTTTTACGCAACTCGGCCCGATTTTTTTTTTCTTTTTTTTGGGGGGGGGGGGGGGGGAGGGGGGGCAATGAATTATACGAGTCTCCGAGGATATTTTTCAGAATTTCAATGAGATGTTATTTTGATATACTCGAGAGGATCGGCCTTTAAAACTTGCTCATCGGAGCCTGGCTGGTTTAGAGTTGGTTGTGTGGACTCACTAAAAACAAAGTATTCTGGTACTTGAAACGTCGGGGGCTTGAGAATGGTGGCCATACCCACCGTTTGACTAGTCGGAATCTTTGCGGCAGTGGCGGTGAGCCCGTCTTGACATCCGGTGTTCAAGTCCATTTCCTTATATTGCCATGGGTTTGTCTAAAAAACGCTGGAAGTGCCGCTCACCTCATTCGGGTTCTCCGGGGTTGCCCCCCGACAATTCACGTTGAGTTTAGAAGTGGATTAGAAAGTCATGAACGTTCCTTGGGGCCGAGCATATCAGGAACGCCAAAAATACGTCCGTTCTCGTCGCCTGCTTTTTCTTCTTATCAAAGCAAGACAGAATATGTGATAACATTCTTTTCCCTTTGCTTTATTTTTTTTTTTGTGTTCTGAGCTTTTAATGAGAAGAAAGAATCGTGCCGCCACCAGGATATGCAAAGCGTTCGAGTCTGGCACGGGCGTACGTCCGAACAGCCCCAGAATTCTCCTCGTTGCAAGGTCTCCTGGGTTCCCCTGGAAAGCTATATTGCGGCAGTGGCCGATAATAACCGGAAAGAAAGAATCACGACGCGAGTCAACATGAGCTCTTCTCTGCGGTGCTGACTGACTTCACTGGACGACATATTTGAGTGCGATGTTAGGAGGGCATGCTGAGAACGAGCTCACAATAATAGGCTGCTAAGAACGGCAATCTTGATGATGCAGAATTCAAGTTGCAAAAGAACTGCGGAAGCTCACCGTCAGCACGTGCTCAGCAGTCGCGCATACAACTATGGCCGCCAACGAATACTCCCTACGATCCGTTCACCCTTAAGCTTAGACTGCGGCCAATGGTAAAAGCACGAGAGCTCAAGGTCGCTGTTTTGAAGCGCTCTTCTGCAGATAGAGCTCTCGCGCTAGAAGTCCACGTCTCAAAGCATATCCTTCTCTACACTGTCAAAGCCTGGCAGATAGCCACGAGAAGCGGCCGCGGAAATTGAAAAGGTAGGGCAGCAGACAGCGGGTGAGAGGAAAGCCACGTGACAGGCGCCTCGCTGCGGCGAGACGCCCAAACACACTTCTCCCGAGCGATGGAATGTCCGCTCGTGCTCCTCGCTTTCCTCAAGCTGCCGCTTCTTTTCTTGCCGGGTTTGAAAACCATGTTTCGGGTCCTCGCCACTGTAAAACGTGTGCGCTGACGTCCAGGTTTCCCGAAAAATCGGGAACGCGACAGAGCAGCACAAGACAAAATAGCACGCAACAAAACAGCAAACAGCAAGGTCAAAACAGTGCGGCATCAAAAGTGCGCAGCGACAGAACAGGACGCGTCAAAACAGTAAGCGTCTCAACAGCACGGCGTCAGAACAAAACGGCGTTCAAACAACACAGTGACAGAAGAGCACTTGCCAAATTAGCACAGCGTCAAAACAGCCTGCTGGTTTTCGGTGTCGTTAAATTTTGCTACCTATAATATAATAACTTTCCACCCATGCCAATGGAGTTCAATCCCTTGCCGTTTTCTTGCTATTGATTCTTGATTATTTGACATGGAAAGTGGTAGATTTAATCTTTATTGTTTAAATAACAGAAGGTGTGACATATATTTCCAAGTTTCGCTGATTGCAGATGCTGCCCTCTATTGCCTAATGCAAAAAAAAAATAACGTATTGATGTACAGTACTTTTTTACACTGCAACTTTTTTATACTACGGAGACAAAAAGAAGACACTGTTTTTTTGTATATTTGACCCCGCTACAGAAAAACGTCAATGTTTTTTATTTGTTATTTATTTTCTTTTTGCCGTCAGTCTTGCACCTATTGCTCTCGCGAACAGTCTGTGAGCGAACATTGATAAGCAGAAAACAGGAGGAAACGAACCGCGAGCAGGATGACCTCTTAAAATGCCAGCAGAGCATACCCTAACGTTGAGTGCCTTTCTGTCTGAACGCAACCGACTTGAAGAAGTTGTGACCAGTGTCATGGCTATTATATGTGGGCTCTCTTTGTTTTTCATTCACTCATTTCAGTATCCCGTGTTCGTTTATAGTGAACTCCCCATTTAGGGATTATGAATTGTAGTTAAAGGAACACTGACAGGGTATTTAAGGTGGCGAAGGTTTTTATTTGTTATTTTAACATAACATATAAAACCTCAATTACACAAAACACAATTTGCGGCTCGAAAGTAATTATCTTTCCACCCGAAAACCGCCGATCGAGAAGTGGCCGGTTTGATTCCCGCTCACTCTCTTCTTCGTTGACACGTGCCGTTTGCTATGGCTTTGACACAACAACCAAAGATAATCAAATTTATAGCTCATCCAAGGCACTCACTCAATACAAAGAGTTGAAGAGTTGACAAAAATATGACGCCCATTTTTTGTAGCTTCTAAAAGACTGTAAACAAGTTGATTGAAAAAAAAAAAAAGTTGCACATCAACGTGCCTTTCGGTAACTTTTTCCTCTATATTTCTGCTTCCTCCCAGTCCAGTTTCAATTTTGAGCAGTTGCGTATTTTGACTTCATTAAAAATATATGACGCTGCATAAAAATATTGATTCTGTAGTTTCCTGACACTATATTAATCCCCTGGCAAACTATTAAGAAACGTTGGGGAGTGGTAGTGTCCCCTCAAACGATGGGTCTAATGGGCGCCACTGGACGTGATATTCAGCAATGCCACTATAGCTAAAGCGACCTTTTTTTTGTCCCATAAATGTTGTGTAACTTGTATCAGTGATTTCCTGCTCGTTATAGTTTGACTGCATAGAATAGCCCTACGATTTTTTTTTGTCGTTTTGTGCTGTCGCGTGCAAATAAATCATTCTGGTAAACAAGATTTTCGCAACTGTATAATTGTGTTTGTCATACACGTCGATACAAATTACGAAACGCGGATGTATCTTCAAGTGTTTGTAGTCTACTCCATATACTTTACAGTGTACGTAACTTCGGTAGTAGTTTAAATACTTTATGAAGCAGGTATTTGGTAACTTAATTAGTGTTATTGAATATTTTGTCCAACTCTGTTTCAAGGGTTTAGTCCATGTACGCGTGCGTTTGTTTCCTATGCGAAATAATATACAAGACCCGCATTTTTTATCTTTGCAATTTTAGCAAAGTTCTCCTGCGTCACTTACTTCGCATGTCTGACCTTTTGTGATAAATTAACAACCGATGTACCGCACCGCTGGCCGAACCACCGGCGGATTTTTGCGAAGTCCCTCTCCTTGAAACTTTGATAAGTAATGTCTGCTTTACGCACCTTTATTTTTCAGCTGGAAATCGAACGGTAAGCTGTTCCCAGATACAAATGAAGAGACGCAGCAACAGCGGTGAATATGAAATTTATCCTCGCAACGACCCAGTAAATGTTAGCTGTGACATGGAGTCCGACCGCGGCGGATGGACAGTAAGTGTCTCCTCATAGAGGAGAGAATACAAATTGCACTTTTAAAGATATCTTTGCCCTTTTTCTTTTGATGAACAGGCAAGATCGTTCAAAAGGGGCAGTGCAACAATTTTAAGGGGTGTCAGTAGTCGATTGTGTTAATGCACCACAACTAAGAGCACGTGAATTGGAGGCTCCAGCTGCAGAACCCTGGGATCCTTGATTTAGTCTCCAGGTCAGCCCGTTCAATCTGGATCATCATCATATATCTTCACGAGTTCGTGTATTGCTATGCACTGCGTGGCTCACCCTAAAAATAGCAGGTTAGCATTCGTACTTCACTGGAAATAGTTCTCATCTAAGGCGTGTAACAATTTTTCCATACTCTGGCAGACTAACCAAATACTGTTCAAACGTCGTTGCGACGCATGAGCACGTTTCGCAATTATCTGCTGAGTTTAAAGCTTGAATTTGAGTAAATGTGACAAAAAACTTTCTTCGCCATCAATATTCACTAAATGGAGCTTAATAATAATAATAATAATAATAATAATATTTTTATTTACATCACTCTTGATAGGGGAGCCCTGTTGTGTTATGGTAAACCCGACGTCAACAAAACCATCCCCTTTTTTCTGCTTTCGTAACGAACCCATAAAAGCGCGTGTTTACACCTCTCTTCGTCAGAAGTTGACTCGCGGCCGCCAACATCTTCGAGGCCGACAGATTGTGTTGTTCGAACACTACCAAACCGGAGCTTTGAAACTGTTTTAATCCGACGCGGAAACCTCCAGACCACCAGAGAACGAAAATTAACTTTGAGCGGGTCCCTACTGAAAAAAACCCGTATAAAAATTCATACTGGTGGACCCGTATATCTCATAGGGTGTTATGGGATACGGCTCTCCCGTATGCTACTGGAAACCCGTACCTGTACAGGTTGACCCATTCAGATACAGGAGCCCGTACCTCTATGGGTTGACCCGTTCAGATACCCCTACTGAAAAAAACCATTTGAAATTCAAACGGGTGGCAAACTGGTCGCCCGTTTGAATCAAACCTGCCGATCCGTTTGGATGAAACGTGATTATGGGATACGGGTACCCGTTTGGAAACGGTACCCGTTCGAAACGGTACCCGTTTGATACAGGTGCCCGTTTGATACGGGTGCCGTATGGTACGAGTACCCGTTCGACATGGCACGTGACCACACGTTTGAACGCGCCCTTCGAAATGGCAAATTATGCCCTAGCCCTAAATGGGTATCGTCTGGGAGGTTGGTTATTTTAAACATATTTAAGACGTCCCGAAACTCATAAACGTATTTATAACATGGAAAAAACACGTAGAACAAATGCACTCGCGTAGGTGCTTGTAAGTGGACAGGAAAACCGACACAAAAGATTGTTTTCAATTCTCCTCGAAGTTTATTACCTCTTCTGTAGAAGTACAAACGTGCAAGCGATCTGTGAACACTATACAGGTAGACGTTCGGGGAAATTATTCTTCTGGCTGCCGCGCGAATAGGCGCTTCATAATTCTTTAGATAATTTAGAAGAGTACGCGTAGAAGAACGGTCAATCGTTGCCAACACGTAGGTTGCAGTGCACTTACCATAACAATAGCGGACTTGAAAGAGGTAATCCGTGATATTTGTCGACACGGTCAAAGCAGGACAACCATACAAACACAAACGAGAGGGAACGGCTCCTTGGAAGTTTCAACACGATGCGGCGCACAAGCTGTCATTTGCCGAACCCAACAAAACCGCGAGAATTTGCGACTTCTTTGAAGAATCGCTCGTTGCCGACATACCGGTGGGTCTTTTCGAACACTGATAGCTTTGGTGCACATCCAATACGTTGTCGAGAGGCGTCCCAATAAGACCGCAGGGTTAGGCGACAGATTGAAGCAGGTAGGACGAGCGAACTTCGAGCAGCAACTGACAACAAGCAGACAAAAAAAAAAAGCGGCTGCAAGGCGCGCCCTTCCGGATCTCGATGCTTATCAGCGTGTAGCTCGCGCGCTGCTGTGGGTCACGTGACAGGGGTGACAAGAGAGGAGGGAGGGGGCGAGGTCAAGGCGCTGGGACCACCGGGACAGCCCCTCTCCCTCTCCCCAGGCATTCCAGGGAGATGCGTTTTTGTAGTCCCGAAGAACAAACGCGCGCGCGCGCGCTCGCGCTCGAACTTTGGAAATGGCGGCGGGGCTGCCAGAAGCTCGGCTTGCGCCCGAGCGAAGAAAGAACTCAGCGCAAGCTCGTAGTTTGAGTGCTGCAACAGCGGACGTGCTCTCGCAATGCTCGATGTTCTTGCAGCCGCGTGTACGCGTGCTACCTTCGCTGCGTCTTGAATTAAAGTGAAACGGAGTCTAGACGTACATTCTTTCACGCGGTCGCGTCTTCTGCGAGAAAGATTCGAGCTGAATAAGTAAATTGAGGCAACAAAGATGGACAAAGTATTAAAGGTCTGTCAAAAATATCGGCTCACCAACGTCGCGCGTTTACGTAAAACAAAAAAAAAAAGTGTTAGTTTTAATTGCAGTATAATTGAAAATCAGCGCAATTGAAATATAAATATAATTACTTGCATTACGCGGACGGTCTGAAATCGATGAACCGGCGCTCCCAGCCTTCCGGAAAACATTGGCTGCCACGGCTGAAACGCTAGGCGTGCCCACGCCGCCGATCTGTACGTTCAATATCAAACGGGCTCCGGAGAGCCGTTTGATTAAACCGGTGCAGTTTGCAACATGGTCGCCGGTTTGAGCAAACGTGCGACAACTTTGCCCAAACGAGTCGCCCATTTGCCCAGACGAGCGACCCGTTTGCCAAATAGGTGACCGTTATGGCTCATACGGGGGACCCCTTTGAGCCATACGGGCGACCCCTTTGACAAACTGGTGACCAGTATGGTTAAATGGTTACCGGTATGGACCCGTTTATTTTCATATGGGCGCCAAATGGGTTTTTTCAGTAGGGACGGTAGCCGTACCTGTACGGGTTGACCCGTTTAGGTAAGGGAAACCGTGCCTGTACGGGTTGACCCGTTTAGATATAGGAGCCCGTCCGTACCTTACAGGTTGACCCATTCAGATATAGGAACCAATATTTATACAGATTCACCTGTTCACGTAGAGAAACCTATATCTTTACAGGTTTACCCATTCTGACGCAGTAATAGGAATCAACATGGTGTTGAACGTTTGCATACGGACCTACGGATCTTTGCAGGTTCAACAATTCGCATGCATTTGTCATAGAAAGAATGAGCATGAGCCAGGTCATTTCAGGTTATATGTGTATTTAGTGAAGGCAAATTGGCATACTGCAGAACATCAACAAGAAGCTTAACCTCTAAGCATGCTTAGAAGTCAAGCTTCTTGTTAATATCCTGCAGTACGATATTAACAAATTGGCATACTGCAGTAGGTTGACCCGAGCTGTCCTCTTCCCTGGAGAGGCCTCTCGAGGATGCCTCCATATGTACTCGTTGAAGGCATCTGCAGGGGAAAATAATACAACAATAAGTCATGTATATCTACAGTTTCTCGAAAAATTTAATATTTTAATTCCTGCAATTATAAGCAAGCAGTTTCCACTACAATTTATGCTTTGTTAATATCTTGTGATACCATGTAGACTCCAAGAGCAACTTCTTACGAATACGCAGTCTGCTGACAACAGCAGGTATGCATGATTCGGCCAGAAAGTTTTGAACCAGTTCAGACCGAGTTCGAAGGAGTGCAGAAGCAGTGCGCAAGTCGGGCTGCAACTGCGTGAAGTTAAGCTGCAGCGTTACAAACGACCCTGTAATTGGTTTCCGAAAGACCGAGGAGGTGCCACCTGTTACTGCATGAACACTGAACTGACTTCAGCCAGCGCAAGATTCTGTGGAACTGAGGCTGAGCTCGTGCAGCACTGTAATAAATCGAACAGGTCAGTTCAGCGTCCTAGCAACTTCTGATTGAATCTAATGCATCAGTTCTTACACTATTTGAACAATATCGACTGGTTCAAGCAAATCGAAAAGACCTAGTGTGATTTCCCACAACTATGCTCTTAAAGTTTGCTTGAAACAGTGTGTTCCTTGCATTTCATTGTGTATAAAAATAATAGACCCTGGAGCAGTGGGACAAAAAGGAACGAAAAGACATGAAGCTCCGGAGCTTTATGTCTGTCTGTCCCTTTTTGTCCCCACGCTCCGGGGTTACTACATCTATCCTTAACCAGCTCGCCTGCATATTAACTAAAATGAAAGTATGTTCTATGAATCCAAATACGCGTATGTATCTTCAATTATGAACATGGGCCTCCGATTGCCTAAAACCTCGAACACATTTCATGCCCAACAATGGCACCATGGAAACGAGTGAAAGGAACATTGAACACAGAATGCTCGGCAGGCGGTTTTTGTGCTAAAGAAAGACTTTGAACCGCAATTGTAGGTTCTGGGCATGTATATAAATTAGCAACACATATTTGACATCAAGAATCATTTAACAAATTTAATATCCGTGTCACGACCCTTCAATGGTCCATTTATACGTGATAAGAGGAATTCCCGCGATGAGAAGGTAGTTTAGAAAAAATGAGCAGTACTCAAAGGACAGAGCCAAACATAGTTCGGTTCCAGCAGCTCTAGTGGACAAACAGACTCGTTTCACAGCTTTGCTAGTGCCAGCTTTTCGTTCAAAAGAAAAAATAAGTGCCTCACAGCTCCGCCGGGAAGCCAGCAGACGGTCCTGTGAGCAGGCCTCTGATATCATAGACCCCCCAAAACTTGCAGGGATTAGCAGATATTTGCGACGCGGAGCATGTTGATGTAAAACGTCCATAGTGTGAATGCATCAGAAAGCGCCAAGCGACCTAGATGGCCGTGACAAGGTCACCTTATTTTTCTTCATATATTAAAAACAAAGAAGGAGATAGGGCTTCTTCATTTCGGTTTTGCGCTCGGAGCTTTACGTTCCTAAAGCTCGAGCTCGTCGAACTGTGACCCTTCAACAGCCTATAACACTGA